CGGCTTTAGAGTAGAAGAAATGTTAGTGAGAACGAGTCCATCCCAGAAGAGGGGCACGATGGTTTTAAAGAGCCAGAGGGAAAAGATGTCTGTGGCAAAACAGCATTTGCCAAACATGGTGACTCACCTGGGACCACGTGCACAAGACTTGTACAAGACCAAGCCAGCCAAAATCCCAGCGTGGATGAAAAGGGGCTCATAAAGTTCCACCCCTCTCCGAGGAGCTATTGACAATTGCTAAAGGGAAGAAAAGTTGGTTTTCTTCAGAATGGAGTCCCTGAGGCTACTCATCCTCTAGTGCATGGTCCCATGCCGTTCACATACAAGCATGGTATTCTGTCTCTGTCTGTCTGTCTGCCTCTCTCTCTCTCTCTGTTTAAGAACACATGAAGTTGGGAGGAACAGGTGGTGGAGCAATAGGGGAGAAATTGGGGGGGGGAAGGGAATGGGTATTGATTTGACCCAAACATATTATATGCACTATGAATGTTAAAATCCTTTTTTTTTAAATATAAAGGCCTAAAATCTTGCCACATGCCATAAGTAGCTAGGGAAGAAAAAAAAAAAACCCCAAGAAGAAGTAGGAAAATAAATATGCAGTACAAAACCAAGTATAGAATTCATCTCAAAAATGCCATACTATAAATGTTCGTCCTTTTTAAAGTTTATCCTTAACCAAAAATAAATTGATTGAATACAACATACTAACAGAACAAAGACGAACTGTAAGATTATTATAAATAACACAAAAGGCATTGACAAAATTCAACAGTCATCTCTGCTTCATTTAAAAACTAAAAAAAAAAAAAAAACCTAGAAATAAAGAGAAATGTCTCCACCCTCAAAAAGCAACTATGGCCAGGCAGTGGCGGTGCACACCTTTAATCCAGGACTCAGGAGGCAAAGGCAGGAGGATCTCTGAATTCGAGGCCAGCCTGGTCTTCCAGGACAGCCAGGGCCATATAGAGAAACCCTTTCTTGGGGGTAGAGGGAGGGATATGACAACCCCACATCTCACAGTATCTGTAATAAACTGAAGGATTCACTCTTAAATCTTAGCAAGAATAACCTGCTCCCAGGTTATTCTCTTCTGTGTTTTTTATTTCTTAGATATTGCAATAAGACATTTTTTTAACTTAAGAAAGCAAATCTCCACTTCAGTACATAGAAACTCCTAAAGGACCACTACAACTAATGAGTGAAGACAGCAAGCTTATAGGATGCAACAGCAAACATGAAAAGATGAAACATTTGAATTTCTATGTTCAGTACAATCAAGGACAAAAATAATGCTTTAGGATAAATCCAAAAAAGATATGCAAGATCTCTGTACTGTAACAACTAGGGAGATCTATATATGTGCAGAGATAGCCCTCATTCATGAATCATCAGAATACTGCTTCTTCCCAAACCAGGTTGACATAGTCCCGATCAAGACAACATAGACTTTTTTCTGAGTTAAAAAATATCTGTCTCAAGAACCATAGTTCTTTGATTTTTAAAATGGAAACAGCTTATTACCTGCTAAGAAATAGTGAAAAAGAGCTAAGTTGGAAACCTTGCATTTCTTGACTTCAAGACCTATAAAACAATTTGAATGCTTTTTACTGGCATAATGGCTGAATAAATGGGTAATGGACAAAATAAAAAAAAATCCTGAAGTAAATGCATTCCTGCTTTCCTTCTCAAGAAGTGGCATAGAAAAAGGTGGATATCCTTTTGAACAAGATGAACCTTAAGTCTGACTTGCACAGTAAAGAAACAAGCTGGATCTGCACTGCACAGAGCAGCTATGCAAACTGGGGGAGAGAGACAGAACACTAACCTTCGAAGCAGCAATAATCCCTTAATGCACGAAGGAAAACGTTTTCAAAATCAAATGGGCATGCCAGAGATGAAAAAATAATATTCAAAATTCATGTCTAAGAAAGGACTAGTATTCCAGATATATAAAAAATAGGAATCAGTTTTTGTGTATGTGCATGCATGTGTGTTGTATGTGTATACACATGTGTGCATGTGGAAGCCAGAGTTCAACACTGGGTGTCTGAGTTGCTCTCTATGGTTTTTTTTTTTTTTTTTTTTTTTTTTTTTTTTTTGAGGCAGGGACTTTAACTGAACCTGGAGCTCACTGATCTGGCTGGGAAGACTGAGTGACTAATCAGAGTCACCTGTCCCCACCTGCCCAGGAATGCTGGGATTTCAGATATCGGCCACCATGTTCATCTTTCTCTGTGTGTGTTGGAGATCTGAACTCTAGTTGCCTGTGTGGTGAGCACTTTACAGACCGACCATCTTCCCTGCCCCAAGACCATTTTTTTTAAAGTGGACAAACTCTTCCAACCATTTACAAAGGGATATAAATGTCCAGTATGCTAGGTATCCAAAAAACACAAAACCTCAATGAGATAAGTTTATGCTAGGGATATGGGCACTGCATTGTTAGTAGAGCAGTTTCTCACAGAGCTAAACGCATCCTTACCTATGGCTTAGCACTTCACTGCTAGGCGTTTGCCCCAAAGATGAGAAGCATCCACAAACCATTGACAAGAACATTGATAAGTTTTATTTTTTAATTGAATTCATGTTTCCTAACAGTTTTATTTATGATAATGAAATTTTCTCACTTTCCTTGTTTCTGTCACAAAGCATGAATAAAATTTTGGCATATCCAATAAAACGATAACTGGGACCTATAACATGGATATGCTTCAGAAACACACTCTACACAAGAAACATGATTGTGGTTCCCGTGAGCCTGAAGACCCAGATAGGTAAAACCAAGTTCTATAAAGAAGAAAGAATCCATGGTAGAAAAAGAAAAATCAGACCCGTGGTTACCTCTGCAGGAATGTGGGTGAGGATGTGCTGGAAAGATATTTGTGGGAGCTTTGATGGCACTTAGAAGATGAAGGAGGTAGACAGTGTTTTGTCCCCCAAAGATGTACATATTTGTCAGAACTTGTCAAATGGTACATTTGCATGTTACTGGATGCAAATTTTCCCACAAAAGCAAAAATCTGAGTATGGAACTCACAATAATGACCAGCACTGGGTGGAGATGGGGTGAAAGTGTGTGGGTGTCTACAACCTTTCAAAACACACCCTAACCGAATGGACTGATGGCTTAAAAGGGACAGAGGTTTACCATCAAGTCTAGTGAATTGTCACTAGTAAATCTAGGCGTTGGTGTGTGGTATCATTGTGAAAATCATTCAATTTTGATGTACTTCAAATGTTTCCTGAACTATCAAAGGTAAAGTTCTTCCTCCCCAGGAGACATGCACAATGAATCAATCGCCGGAGTTACTTTCATCAAAATCATTTGCATTTACTCAACAGAACTGCAAGTCTTTCTAGTTCTGTTTCTGGCGAGTATCGTGGGTGGGTCTCCTGGGACCACTCTCGCCATAGGCGGAGAAACTCTATTTAGATCGCGGGTGGCTGTGAATCCATTCCTTTACACAGATATATCCCGCTCCCCTGTGCTGATATCAGTGTGCTAAGGAATAACCTGCCGGGGACCAGGTGAGTCTAAAGGGCACGCAGCGCCCTCTTCTGGCCTCTGACGGACCCACGCAGACCATTGAGGCTCTCGACCTTGCTCTTGAAGCAACCACTCCAGGGATCTGTTCACCGGGGTGCGAGCATCATCGCTGCTCCGAGGTTGGCCTTCAGAGCTGGCGAGCGTGGCAAGAGACTGGCCCTGGAGCCGAGAGGCGGACACGGGGTGGAGTCGCCGCGGATGACAGCGGCAGGGCTACACCTGTTGCAATGTTAGCACGCCCCACAGAGAAGGCAGCACTGGGCACGGACCTCTGCTCCCACACCCACTGGGCAGGGCAGGGCCGCTTGAGAAGGGGAGCCAGGGATCATTTTGAACCTATCCCACAGAACAGGTGCGTTTGGAGGGGGACCCGAACGCAGCGGCGTCTCCTGCGCCCGTTGCAAGTTGGGGTCTCTGGGTGGGTTCCCCAGCTGTTCGCCGGAGAGCCTTGCTGCTTGCTGTCTTGCATGCGGTAGATGGGATCTCTCGGAGCGAGCTCTTGACTGCGCAAGAACTACAGAGCCAAGTGAGTCAAGGCCGAGTAGAAGAGATGGAACCCTTCTGGTCGCTGTCCTTGGCCGGTTCTCTGAAAGATGGGCTGGCAGGGCCTGCACGTGGCGACAGAGAACACCCTGTGAAGGGCCTAGAGGCCGAGGGCGCTCTGATTAGGAAGGTTGCCTGGGAGGATGCTCCTAACTTCCTTCACTGTTCCAACCTCCCCCTCTGCTCTCCTCCCCACAGCGGTCCGCCCTCGTGCTGCCGCGGAGCCTGTGTGCCCGGGCGACATCCAAGTCGGTGGCAGATCTACCTCTCCGCCCTGTCCCTGCGTCCGCTCTTGACCCAAACCGGTTCCAGCCCCTAAGTCCTGGTGCATCGGGAGGATAGAAGATCGGCGGGACAGTCACTAATACGCACCGCAGATGCATCCGAAGAGGCACGAAAGACAGCGGACAGAGCTTGGAAAGCCATGGTCCAAGGAACCCGGACCTTGATGCTCAGCTTACCCACCGATTCAGTCTGAGCCCACGGCCTTTTCTTCTAGATGAGTTCAAGTTCTCCGGAGTTTGCCTTGAAGGCGCGCCACGCCCCCTCCCCAATCTGAGCAGGATCAGGAGGCCGGGTGAATCCCAGGCGCCCGCACCCTCTTACCGAGCCAAAGCAGACTCTGCGCCCCAACGCTCTGATCTTCGGCCTTAAGGAGAACTCCAGGGCGGACTGGGAGGCGGTGGGGACAAAGCGGATTCGAAACCACGAGTCCTGGCAGACGTGCGAATCTGGTGCCACAGGGACAGTCAAGAGCAGCAGCCTGGAGATCCACGCTGCTTGGGGGAGCGCGCTGCGGGCATGGGCGAGCCGGCACGCGGAGCGGGCTAAGGGCCGGTAAAGCGGGATCCTCCCAGGGCGTGGGCACGAGTCCGCGGGCGGTGGCCCTCGCGGGGTTGTCTTTCAGTGCCATGGCCGGCCGCAGTTGTGGCTGTGGCCCGGGCCACCTGAATGAGGACAACGCGCGCTTCCTGCTGCTCGCAGGGCTCATCGTGCTCTACCTGCTGGGCGGCGCCGCTGTCTTCTCGGCGCTGGAGCTGGCACACGAGCTGCAGGCCAAGCAGCGCTGGGAAGAGCGCCTGGCCAACTTCAGCCGCGGCCACAACCTGAGCCGCGAAGAGCTGCGAGGCTTCCTCCGTCACTATGAGGAAGCCACCAGGGCGGGTATCCGCATGGACAGCGTGCGCCCTCGCTGGGACTTCACGGGAGCCTTCTACTTCGTGGGCACTGTGGTGTCCACCATAGGTAAGTAAGCCGACTGGTCACTCAATGGCTCTACTTTCTGATCGGGCATCTCAGCCTTGGGGGTTCTCCCCCCGCCCCCCCCCCGGCGCCCGGAATTGCACCAAATGAACCCTCTGAGGCTGATCAACAGGTGCGAATGGATCCCAATGTCACCTGGGAAGTTATAAAATTACTCCAGACCTCTGGACAGACCAGAACCAGCCGCTGTTTGTTAACCAGTCCCCGAGGATTTGAATAGTTCTTAAATTGAGGAAGCACGGCCCTCAAATTGAGACCGCCAGTCTGGTTTAGGAGACAGGGCTGAGTTCATGAATTCGTGGTGGGGGGTGGGGGTGGCGCTACACTGAGCTAGAGAGCTTGAAACGTTTTGGGAGTGTTGACTATGCACAAGCCACTACTCAAAGGAAAGCCCACGATTTCAAACTTACAGAGAGACGCTCCGAATTCCAAATTGGGAACTCAAAGAACCAAGAGGAAAGTGACCTTGGCTCTAGCCGGTTTGCGTTCCTAGGAATGGAGTTTAGGGACTAAAGGGGTATCCAGTGCATTCTAGAACATAGGCGGCTTGCATCCAGAAGTCCCGGAGCTGGCTGAGCTTGAACTAGAGGAAGGACTGCTAGGGAGGCCGGGTGACTGAGGAGATGGAGCAGGAGCAAGTAAGAAGTTAGCATTTTACCAGGAGGCCTCTGAGCCGTTGGGAATTCTGAGAACAATGTGGCAGGCTACTGGCAAGTGATACCGTTATAGTCCTGCAGAATGAGGTGGGAATGGATTTGTGTGGCACACTCCCAAGGCTGCTCACTATTGAAGTCTAGTTGAGTGATGAGCGACTGGGAGAAAATAATGCAGAAGCCCCGGGGAAAGAGGCCTGTGTGGGGAGCGGGACTCTGAAAGGCTGGAAGAGGACGGGAGGAGCATAGAAGTCGCTGCGGGAGCTCAGGGCAGCAGCTACATCATGGATTCTCCGCAGCCAGGGTCCCTGCACTTTCTAGAGTAGTAGCTTGCCGGTGACTCGGATGACAGGCAAGCCACCTTGAGATGTCATCTACACATTCTGCTAGGGGGAAAAAGCCCTCACGCTGAAGCCTCGAGCTATAGACCTAATTAGCCCAGAAAGACCTCCCGAGAGTAGCCAGGAACGCATAAGTTCAACTGGCCCACCAAACAGCAAGGCAGAAAGGACCCACCTGGCCAGCACACGACAGCTGTACTCAAGCGCCTTATGCTAACCGGTCCAGCTTATAAGTCCCTGTCATTCTGCCTTCTTCCCCGGAGGTCCACTGTTTGACGCTTAGAAAGAGGAACGATTTTCATTTCTGGAGTTCCACGTTTGGGGCTTTTTCTGAGTCCTTTCTTCCTCCTGCCTGGGCTTAGAACATCATTCCCCCACCCAGATCCCGTGAGGGGAGGTTCAGCTGTCCGTTTCCAGGCACAGCAGTTCTGCTGCGCTTTAAGATGCTTTTCCGTGGGAACAATGGCAGGGGCACCTTAGAGTTCTAGCTGAGGAGCTGTGGTTGTGGGGAACAGGAGCTGGGAGCAGCCAGTGAGAGTCTGTGCTCACACAAGGGAGAGCAAGCAGCTCTTTCCTCTGAGATACACTGCCTAAGATTTCCCAGGGACGCTCAGACTGGCCATTCGCAGAAGCCTGGGATCTCATCAGTTACTCGTTTCCTACCTGGAAATGTTCAGGGACATGGCATTAGAGTTCTGTCCAGGACATAGTTCTCCGTCTCATTACCTTCATTCCAGTTCTTTCCTGTGTTCGCCTGAGCCGGTTGGATCAGAATGACTTCTTTAAATTCAGAAATCCGGGGATTTTTCTTCTTTTTTCTGAATTCTAATCTGTTATCTCTTCCTATGTTTTTCTCTGTGAAGTAGTGGGTTTGATGTGACTGCAACCCAAATGATTCTTGAGGTCCTGTGTAATGCTCCTTTCAAAGACTGGTCTAATAGCCAAGGCAATGGAAAACTAAATTCAATGTTTCTTTGTCTCTTTAAGGTAAAACCGCCCTGTTATAACAAAGGAAATGTCCCTCTTTTCTCCTTGTGGCTCTAGGGCTTCTTATTCCTATGATCTTCCCAGACATGAGCTTACCGCCATTCTGTCCTTGCTGGTCCCCTCTTGCTATCTCTTTTTGCTGTTATTAAAATTGGCGTTCTTTTAACTTATTCTCATTAATCCCATTACCTGGAGTCTCCAAAACACAGGCGAGTCCTGTGAGGTGACCGGCATCAGCCCTGCCCCTTGAAACCATAGAGAGAAAGACAATGATTGGTGTGTGACCTCTTCAGTCTGTGGGGAGGACGCTGCCAGCACCCAGTCCAGCTAATGACAAGAAGCCCCTGTCAGAAGGACACGTCTATTTCCCCTGGCACTCTGGTCTCCCCTCCCACCACCACTGTTTTCCCCTTCCCTATTCCTCGCCCCAGCCCTGTTTCCTTCTGAATTGCCAGGCATTTGTTTTTCTAATACTGCTTCTTCAACGCCCTCCCATTGCATCCACCCCACTTATCCAGAGGGGCGTGGCTTTAGATACCTAATAAAACTCTGGGGTTCTTGGTCTTGATGTCTGACCACATCTGCTTCTCTTTTACTGATCACCTCTCCTTGTGGGGATGGAGGACACTGGCACCTAGAGGACCAGAGATCAGACCACAAGTGGAAATGAGTATAACTTGGGGTACAGGGCTTTGGGGGGCACCTGGACCCTGGAGAGAGCAGCCCTACCACAGGCATTCTCAGGATAACATTCAGATGCTACCATGCTGACCAGACAGCTGTGAGGACTTGCAGACCCCAGATGAACTTGGGTCACAGGAGAGAGCATTCTGGGCTTCCTGCCCTTGGGATGGGAAGACAGGAAGTGTTGCCTGCTTTTGCAGCCTCTTGATGTTGCAAGTTACTGTAGCCGAGTTCACACAGGATTCTCGGTCACCTTGGAGGGTAGCATATTTCCTGTTTGCACGCACACTTCTTCCTGAGGTAGGGAGATGCCTTCTCTCAGCTCTTCTGGCCCCCACGCCTTTTCATCCCGGAACACACACCATTCTCTTCTTTTCTTTCCTTTAATGTGATGTCCCACGCGCCTTCTTGAGACTTACGCGTGTATCCATGAATGTGGGGGTCACTTAACTGTCCTCTGAGGGCTGAACACAGCACGGATCTCTGTGTGTGTTCAACTCTTACAGAAATCCCGTAGTACTGGCTACATGCTCCTGTGAAGTGGGGGCGGGGGGGGGGGTGCGAGGTGCCAAGGCTCAGCGAGCTTCTCTGTTGGGTTGAACGTTACTCAGCTGGAGGTGAGATGGCAAGCTAACCCTTAGAACTGTCCCCTATGCCTTTTCTTCCTTTGAGGCCCTTTTTGTAGGAATAATTGGCCCCCAGTTAGACACTGCACCCCTTTTCCTCAGTTGTGGTGGTTTTTAGAGGCCCTAAAATAATACAGACAGTCTGCCTGGCAGACTTCAGGAAGGTTTATGATTCACCAGTGTCTGTTGGTACAAGGCAAGGTTTGAGTGAAACCTACCACGTAGATGAATACTGGCACTTCCGGGCATCATGTTTCACAGTCCTTGCCAACTAAACATCTTCCTGATGCCCATGATGGTTGACCATGTCTGTACACTGTCTCCACCAGATCCCAAAGTCACTGACCTTTCCTGTTAGCTCTTAGCACATTGGTACCTTGGTACCTAGGTTTTCTGTGTCTTGGATTAAGCAGCTGCTAAATAACACAGTGATGCTGAGCCAACCCACTGACCGCTGAAGTGGTTTTCAAACTGTTCTGAGGAGTTCATGGAGTACTCTATGCTATGCTAAGGTCATTCCTCGGGGCTTAGGGCTCTCTTCCTTTGTGATGGGATGACAGGAAGCTTCTCTCTCTCTCTCTCTCTCTCTCTCTCTCTCTCTCTCTCTCTCTCTCTGATGTGTGTGTGTGTGTGTGTGAGAGAGAGAGAGAGAGAGAGAGAGAGAGAGAGAGAATAAATCAATTGGATGAATGTTTATCTTACTCAACTACCTTCTTACTGTCTTGATTGGGGGGGGTGTAGAAAAAATACTAATTTGATTGACAGGGTATTTTTCCTAATTCACATCCTTTCCATGGCTAAGATAAATATTCTCGCCCATTCTCTATGTAGCTGTTTAACTCATTTCAAATGTTATTCAGAAAGATTGCTTTTTAAAGTTTCTGTGAGGTTGGCACTATAATTATGCTTTGATTTATTGCTAAAATTATCACATAACGATCTGAGAATGTGCATGTTGTACAATTCTCTGTTTTCTTCTTTGACTGTTTCTTTGTGTCATGGAGCCTGTATATATTTGAGCCAGTTTTCCACTTGTGTCACAGATTCCTGGAGCTGGAAAGAAGATGGACCCCCCTGTCCCCCCCCCCCCCCCCCCCCCCCCCGCCCCCCACCCCCCCCCCTTCCTTTTTTCCTCTCCAGTGGTCATTCTGGTTCTCCTTTTCCCCCCCCCCCGCCAAATCAGGCTTTAATTCCCATAATCACATCAAAGACAACATTTTACTGTGTTTCAGGGCACATAAAGTCATCAAAATTTTTTTGTAACTCCATCATTTGATGACTTTGCTTGCCTTCGTCAGGGTTAACTTTGTTCCCCTCTTCATGCTTTATGTGCTAATGGCCCATGGAGCTGAAATACTGCGTCATAGGAGAACTGCTTGTGGACCCGTGGACCATTGCTCTAGTGGGGTTATCAGTGGTTTTGATTTAAGTAACCACTTAGTGTGTTTTCGTACTGTTATTTTTAACTTTTTCCATGTGTATGAAAAGTTTGCACATTTACCATTTGGTCTCCTCTCTGCTGCCCCCCTTCATTCTCTCCATCCCTGGTTTGTTTTTTTGATTGTTTGGTTTTTGTTTTGGGTTTTTTTTTGGGGGGGGAGGTGTTCTTTCAGTGTTGATTTTCTACTCTAGTAGAGGAGTAGTTCTTTTGGTCATTCTAAGTATGATCAAGACTACCTGAGGCCAAAAGC